GCTGATTTCCTAATAATTTTATTTCTTTTATTCCAATAATTTACATTCTCTTGAATCGAATTTTCCGATACCTAATCTTCCCTGTTACCACTAATTCTGTTACTACCTCTACTAATCTGGAATTTGCCTTGACAGTTTGACCTCTCAGTACTTATGGGGTATGGGAACGTGAACGGATGAAGAAAAATACAAAATTCAACAACACGTATAGACTCCATTCGATAATGAGTATTTTATGCATGCGTAATACCTCCAGTATTTCAATTAACATTCACATAATTAATCAGTTCGTGACGCTGTTTTTTTCTTTACTCCAGTGAATTTAGATCTCGAGGATCAGCTGCATCAGCAAACTAACAATTCACGGATTTTAACTCGTACCATTAATTTATCAAGCAAGTCATCATAACGGCTACCATTTATGCTGTACTTAATACAAAGGTTTATTTATCTTGCTGTAGGACGATTCGCCTGGAGAGTCCGAAGTGAGTCTTTAAATGGCTTACTTACACCTATTACCCCTCGCGGTGATGCATAGGCTAGGTAATCCTATACAGTTGTTTCCAGTTGCTATTCATCCTTTTCATATCTGTGCTTCCAAATCTCGACTTAGCGTGCTCTTTGGTCTTATTCCTTTCCGTTCCCCATAGGATTCCAAGTTGATGCTTTCTTCGTGTAGCTTGATTTCCGTAATGTATGTCCAATCCACTTACAATGTCTTTTCCTAATTTCCTCTCAAGCTGAAAGTTGGTTTGTCCTATCCCACAATAAACAGTTACTCATGGTATCCAGTCAACTAACATTGAGTATTTTACGTAGACAATTGTTTATAAATCCTTGTACATTTTTGATTATGGTTGTAGTTGTTCAAGTTTCAGTCGCGAGTGGTATAATTATCTTGACGTTCGTATTGAAGATTTCGACTTCGATGTTGGCTCACAAACAGTTGTTTTGAGTTCCATATGTTCTCTGACTGTATGAATACCACCCTCACTTTATCAATTAATACGATTACATCCGTATCAGATCCTTCTTGTTCATCGATGATACTGACCAGGTATGTGGAAGTTCTCACCTGTCCCAGAGCTTCTCCATCAAATGTGATTGGCTTAATGTTCGCTGTGTTGTATTTGAGGATCTTGCTCTTCCCTTGTGTATGTCGTGGCCCACTGATACAGAGGCTTCTGCTACTCTACTTGTCTTCATCTGCACTTGTTGGTGTGTATGGGACAGAAGAGCCAGGTCATCTGCGAAGTCTAAATTGTCTAGTTGATTCCGGACTGACCATTGTATTCCCTTTTTCCCCTCAGACATCGACATCATAACCAAATTGACCACCAGAACAAAGAGAAAGAGTGATAGTAACAACCTTATCTGACTCTTGTCCTCACTTGGAATGCATCTGCACTTTAGTCCGTAGTATGAACTTCGGATGATGTTGACGATTTTCTTAAACATGGCTCGCGTAAACATTAATATTCATCCAGTAAATTCTAGTTCTTAAATTGATCACTACAATGCTTTATGCAATACACAACTTTCTTTATCGCACCTTACCGAGAATTTTAATGCGCCAGTCATACCAAACAATCGATAAGTGGATGTTATTGTCAGATTGACAGCAATAGCCTGACCTAAAACCTTTCTGTATGTTTGTTATGACTCGTAGAGGGACAGGATAATAGGACTATAAAATTCATAGACAAGCAGATATTCCCTATAGATCAATAAAATCTTTTTTGGAGTACGAACAGAACTTTAGTAGTAGCATTTCTAGGAGTCTTATCTTCAGTGAGGTATAAACGAATCTACCAACATACGAAGAGATTACATATCCTCTTAATACTGTGATTATTGTACATACTTGAGATCCTGTTTAAATAAACTAATATCACCTTGAATATCTAGCAAATGTAATGATGATTATAACAGAGATAAATGCCTTGAGCTTTTCTTAAGATCAACAACCAGAAAAACAGGATAACCACTCGATTTATAGGCTAATTCAAACTCGTTAAATCGTAAAGCTCTCATTAGCTAATTTACGAAGACCTAAACAACTTAAGTAAAGATGTGGGGATAAAAAGCATTTGTAAAGAATGAGAATCAATTAATTGGCTGTAGTAATATAAATGACCTTTATCCTGGAAGATTATCACTCCATTGATTTACAGAATCAGTTTGCGTCAATGTTATCTAAAAACAATTTAAAAAGTTTTATTATATTCACTTGACTCTGATAGTCCTAAACTTCCACATTACATCACTCGGATTCATCTTTTTAATGAGCAAAAATCTGGTCTAAAAATATCGTGGTGCCTAATCGTTAACCAATGACTGTGAAAATAGTTCCCAATTTGTTGGCAAATTTTCGATGACTAACAAGCATCTTATTTTATTTCTTGACATCCCCTCTCAGGTTGTATTATAGAAAATGAAGATTTATGAGCTACAGAAATCTATCGACTCTATGAAACTTCTAAGGTCGACTGTGTTGAAATTTGGCCAACATTTAGACCTTTTTTAAGATTATAAATGGATTTGATTTAGTTGACTAAACTCAATAATCGATTATTCATTTTGACTGCAAAGTAGTTTTTCAAAGATAAGTAATTTTCACTTAGCTTGTTGGAAGTCAATACATACATTATATTGGCTTTAAAGCCATTACAAGATATACGAAGTTTACAAAATGTCTTATGGAAGATTTATCGGAATAGTTTCACAATCTGTTGACATATGGATGGGAACACTAGAGCATAGGACAAAGTCGTTGCTGAATATCGTCGGTTGCTGTTATTGGATTTTGAATTACAAATGATTGTAGCTGATGGGATCTGAGGGGGATACCGTATTCATGTGCATTCAAAATTAGCTCGCACCAATTTTATTGCGCCTCCTGATGGTAATCACTTGAAAAGTGACCTTCGACACAGTTCAGCTGAATATTTAATCACCAGGTTAGATAAACTGTAGTTTAAATTGATCGAAAAAGTACAAATTACAAAACTTTCGATTTTCTTTCGAAATTTATCTATTTCGGATGTTGAAGTGAATACTTGCCTTGTGATGTCAACTTCAATAACAAGCAATATTACCAAATTTTAATCTTTCACTATTTATATGCTTGACTTACAAACCATCAAATTTACTAATTTTGATATATTTGCTTGTGACTATGCATAATAAAACCTTAAGAATAACTACATAAAACTGAGATTCACTACTAAAATTACTAACAGAAACATTTGATTGTAGAATCGATTCTCATTAATTTAGTCAATTAGCTAAAAACCTCTTTCCCAGTCTTGAATTCAAAGGAGAGGTTTCAGGTGGAACTGATAAAAGGATTAAAACAGCTAATAATAAGCTTTCCTACAGTTCATCTATTTTCAGATGTTTCTTACTATTAATTTACGTGTACTCGGGTAAACAAGTACATAAGAGTGAAGTTTTCAGAACAAATTCCCTGAAAGTTGATTTTGGAGGTAAAGCATATTCTAGTGCTAAGACTAGACATTCAAAAAGGTGGATATCACAAAGACATTTAAAATAATTTACAAGTAGTAAACACTGATCTTTGTTGATTAAAGAAGTAACCATCAAAATAAATGTGATCAAACACCATTACTTCCTCATGTGTTTAAGAAAGAACCTTATCAGGAGTTTTGTGGAGATTTTAGTAATTTAACAGTTAAATCCACAAGTCGATTGAAGCTAGACGACCATGGAAAACCTGGAAGCACTAGACTGCGGTTTCGTCCTAGCATGGAACTCCTCGGCAATGTGCATTTACGATCCCGCCCCGTGAGATTCTAAACCAGGACCTGTCTCGCGTGCGAATGCTTAAACTCTAGATCACTGAGCCGGCATCCAATGGTGTTAACGTCGAAGTGACAGGTCTCGCGGGATCGAGGATGAGCACTGCCGAGTCCCAAACTATGACGAAAATGCCGTCCAGTGCACTCAGGTTTTCCATGGTGGTCCAGCTTCAATTGACTCATAAATCGTTGAATGTAGTAAGATCACTAAATATGTTCTGGGTTTCACTTATCTAAAATTGCAAATGGATACACTTAAACAATCCCTTCATATTTTACGTTAAGTAACAACTTCCAATCAACTACGAACTTATTCATAGCATTTAGGTGAATATTTATATATACATTTAAAAGTTGTCTGTCGATTATCAGTAACATGAGCAGTTTGTGCACTTAGCTTTTCATGAAAAACCACACATAACTAGACAGTAAAAACAAATTACGAGACAAGAACGAGCAAAATGGACACGGATATGTTATGTCGAAATGACTACTTTTCCTTGTTTTTTAGCAATAAGGTTCTGAATGACGTATTGTCTTGCTTCTTATTTAAGTACGGTTATGTATCGGAAATTTCCGAAAATAATACTTAGATATAGTTCAAAGTTAGTCTGCTTTTTTGTTGACGACGTTAAGTTCAAAAACCAGTGAGATAAATGTACTGATATTTGGAAATTAATTAGTATCAGGCTATACATTACTCCTATCCACACAAATTAAACCTCAAGACTTTCACGCTAGATAACCTCTTACACTGCTGCCTTCTCGAAAATTGTCATGGGTGAGTTGTCACCAGTGATGTTAGACCGGAATAAACTGTTTAGTTGTTAGTTTTAAAAGTCCATCTTCGTCTTTTTACTCAGAACAATAGATCAGGTAGGAATTGAGCGTATTGTTGAAATTAGGTGTAGAAAATAATGAAATTTAAATAATATTCTATTTAGTGTAATCTGAAGGTGATTTTACATTCCCAAAAGTTCTACTTTACCCAACAAATGCTGCGAAGTAATGAATATAAATAAAACTTAATCATACAGGTATCGTCGTTACCTATAATATTGTTTGTGCCACGTTATAGCAACATAACCATCTCTTACACAGCCAGCCACACTTGTTCAGACGCAAAATTTGATATCCAATTTTAAAATAACGAATCAATGATTGAATCTCATCTGATACTGTTTAGGCGCATAAGGTTTACCAATAATAATGATTTCCCGGTATATGTTTGTGTTTCATTTACAAGTTTTCACCAAGCACAGAAATGTTTACTGGGTTCAATGCACTCCCCCACTAAACAGTGCAAATTAACACTCAGCACAATTATAACACATTCCAGTCAGTGTGGCATGAAACAGTATTTAGTGTTAAACATTAAGACAAGACATTATATCTGATAAGCGAACAAGATATAGGCGATTAACTCACACCTAGAATACTGAACATTTTTACTCATGCAACTCGATCCACTGAAAAAAACTAGGTAGTTTTTAATTAATTGGCAAATTATTTAATTATATATGAATATTACTTTCAGTAGGAATAGAATCCTTATCAAAATGTTCATTATAGAATTTTAGTATATTGGGATGTGTAAATCCTAATCGTTCAATTGACGGTAGGAAACCTAAGTTGTCGTAAGTTGCGATTCTCATAAATGAGTTTATTACCTGCCCCTGAGAAACGAATATTTGGAAAACGGCAACATAAATGTAGAAATTCGCTCACAGTCTACCTGACCTACCGGGCCAATTGACAAGAGACTAAATTCGTACCAAAACCTATGAATCTGAAGTAGCGCACTACACAAGCTTACAAATTTAATGACAAGGTAATCCGTATAGAAAACAAGAAGTACTTTTCCATAAGTTATATTGCTCAACTACCATGTTTCTGTTGGATCGGCATCTAAATTACTCCAACCACCTGCTGTCCCACCAACAGGACCGTAACCAGCAGCGGCTATCCCCATATCGCCTAATGACCCGACAGGCATTGTTGGCTCAACTCCCCACGTTTCTGCAGCTTCGATATCGGCCCCTAAAATTGTGAAGATAATAACAGACAGTGAGCGCAACATAATCAAACAAATGGCGGGAGGAGCTTTTGGCTTTAAAATACATTTCACAAGATATCTCTTTCCAACTTGGACTGGAGTAATGAGATTAAAAAGCCCATATATGTTAACCTGGTGGTCGAGCCTATCGTGATGATTCGACCGAGATATATCGGCTGTAACACATGTTTCTTTGAGAAAAGATTAAAGGCAGCAACTTATGATGAGACTGATGTTATACTAATGACTGTACATGAGTGAAAGCAGCGGTGTTTGCCTAGGATAACTAGCATCTGCAATAATGCTCCCTTCTCACATCGGAAGAGATTAGAGAAGCTTGAACCTTAAAGTGTAACATTTCAGCCTAACCCGACAGGTTTCATTCTCCGTAAGGACTTTTGAAGTGCGGAGCTAACGCCTTAAAAAAACGTTCCATGAAAAGGTTGTGCGTGACCGGCTTCAAGCAGTTGTCCTTTGGGCTTTGCAGTCACATCCCCAGATCAATAACACCATCACTAATTCAGCTTCGTTTTTAAGTCATTCAGGGAGAAATATCCCTCCACGGTGTGGGCAGCTACGAAGTAACAACTGCTCGCATACCTCCAACTGACTTATACAATGAGACTTGGACAAACAGTTTAGTGTCTGGCATGCGTATGATGAAAACTTGTAACACTATGCATTACTACAATAAGAAAAAAAATATGAAATATGAGTACCAAAAATTATGCCATTTCTCGTTCTCTTACTATGCTAGACGAAGTACACACACTCAAGTGGTCAACTAGGATTAGAGGTGCATCTATCAGTGACACGAGAAAAGCTAATAATAATCTGCCTATAGATAATCTTTTTACTCGTGTAGCTTTAAACAGTTTCGCATACTAGAACGTTGTCTAAGATGAGCGATATCGGAATAAATAAATTTCTGAAGAGAATTTTTATTTGAACACAAAGCTAAGTGTGATTTAACTTTAAATTGTCCGGTTGAAAAGTACCTAATGGGACTACGTAGGATAATGATTTAAGGTTGCTGTTATTTGATTGGATTTCTTTTTAGCTTCCTGTTACTGGCCTAGTTCTATCCCGACAACATTATAGCATGGTTAGCGATACCTAGATATACTGCTGAGCTTCAGGAAGACATTTGAGAATCAGCATAAAAGTCTGGCATTTTTTAATCGCAAGAGCATTGTGATGCTTTTGCTCATTAAATGAAGTGTTAGGCTATCAATTGTAATTTAGTGTTTATTACCAAGAAAGACACATTGCCATTCAGTAGCTGTCAAAACTATTAAGAACTTTTGGTTAGCGTCTTGTACTTTCATCCACTTACGTGCTTCAAACGAGTGTTTCACTGAAACTCAAACGTTGCAAACAATCAAACAGCCCGTAGCCATAAAGATCACGTATGACGACACTAACGAGATCAGAATTAAAATTGAGTCGGTGTACTATTCATTTTATTTTAACACATAGATATTAGTACGAGAAGGCACCAAATACATATGCGTCACACAAATCTCCTTTGATATATGTGAGGACTGTGATACTGACCGGGTGCCCGAACCGAAGCAGGTGGTTCTCTTAGGGGGCCACACCCGGAGCCTTTGACCTGAAGGTCTGATCCATAAGGCGGTGGAGCAACTTCAGGTGATGCAGTCCAATGGTAGCTAGTGACCAACGATTGATTCATATGCCATTTTTTTCCTTCAGGATACTGGAGCCCTTGTGCAGCATTGGCTTGGAATCAGAGTTTTCCAACTCCCCTAGGTGGACTTTACATGTCCACCGACCCGATTAGAGCACCGGACATTCGCTTTCCGTCCTCTCAATTTCGTAATCAACATCACCACGAGAAGGAAGTGAGCGGGACTTCACTGGCAGAGGCTATATACGCGTAACTATGTCAAAGCATTTCGAGAGGGATAGCGGACTCTCCCCACTCTTGGCCGTACCAGGGCATTTAAGGGTCATCAATTTCGACACGAAACAGGGCTACAGTTTTCCTGACTCGTGAATCCAAAACTTAATCATATTCCACAGATAAATATTAGTTAAGTCGTCTTAAAAAGTGCTGTATGTCTACAGTGGCTGGCCAATTATCCAAATATATAATACCGACCGGTATGTTATGATATCGACACGAATTTATGAATCTCAGAGTGTTAGTTGTTTGGTTGCTTGAGAACCAATTGCTTTCGATTCAATCAAGCTTGAAGATCCGAATCTAAACAAATGGAAATGCTGTTTTAGTCCACGGAGTTTTACACTTACTACATCATATGACCTACCACTACTTATTATACAATATAAAAGCACATCCTGAAAAACATAATTAACCTGGCAAAGCGGGTTCCAATCTAGTATCATCAACTTCCTCAGCATTTTGCTCTTCCTCGTTGGGATCGCGATAGAGAAACAGGTCAGGTAATACACTCCATTGATGCAACCTTGTATCTTCACCGCGGATGCGCCGAACTTCACGAGCGAGAAGCCACCACACAACGGCAATAGAATGCGTTGACTAAAGGCAATTACGTGAAAACTAGAAGACTACCTTGTTATTACATGGAATGACGATATCAACACGTGAAATAGGGGTGTCAGTATTGCAGAATGCAATGAGCGGGACATTTACAGAATTAGCTTCATATACAGCTTGGTGATCGCTTATTGGATCACTGACAATTAACAGGCGGGGCTCTCGGAAACAAGACTAAAGAATATTATGAAGGTACGGAACATACTTGTTTCTGGTTGGTGAAAGTACCAGGTGTGAAGCGGCCTGCCATTGCTGTTGTCCCTGTATAGTTCGCAAATTTTAATACAGCACGCTGAGTAAACGGCCTGGACCCGACTGCGTAAACATCAGTCGGATGATCAATTGCTGCAATAGCACGAGCTGATAGAAGGATTTTCTCCCATGTTTTATCCAACTTAATAATGTGATAATTATCCTTAGTACACCCATGGACGTATGTTGACATTTGGAAATTCATATTAGTTTCCCCCACATGAACGTGAGCTGCAAGCATTAGGCGCAGGTCCTCTGCCGAGAGTTCTAAAACTGGATAACCACCAGACATGCTTGACAACAACCAGACCGAATCACGAGCAGAATTGAAAAGGCGCTACTGCGACTGAATAGCCATCTGATGAAAACAAAGGAAGTTTCGTGTAGCAAGTGAACTTTATAAGAAGAAAATAGCTTAAGCTGCGTGTTTATCTTTTGTTGGTAGAACTTTTCATATTTGGTTTTTCATTAAAGTCCTCATCTTTTAGATGGACATAGTAAATGAAATATATCTCCGAAACACCTGAAGCTTAGACTGAGCTAATGTTCGGGCTAGGCTTCATAGCAGAGGGATTATAAAGTGGGGTAATCTCAGCTACAGCAACACAGCTCATAACGGACGTAAATATTTCTTTCTATATTAGAACCGATTGGGGAAACGTAACGTGTTAACACTCGGAACCGACTTCACTGGAGACATATGGTTCAAATGATTCAAATGGTTGTGGACGGAATAGAAGAAGCTTTCGCTTAACAGGCCTCCGTGCCTAGTAGCAGGGGACCAACAAATCCTCCAGGCAGGAACCTAGGTGTGTTAACAATAAAAGAGGAAAAGAAATTAGTAAATCATAGTGCAATACTATCCTTAGTCCTTGAGAATAGATCAAGTTGCCTCTTAAAGGACTCCTGGGAAGTCGCTTGGACTGACTCGGACGGCAGCGAATTCCAGCATTTGACAAATCTTAAGGAGTAGAAGTTGTGTCTACAGTCCGTTCTGCTATGTTGTGTCTCCAGTTTTTGGGTGTTACCTCTAAGGTTAGTGTTGGAACTAAGCTTAAGTAGGTGTTTGAGAGGATGTCCAGAAGTGTTAAGGATACTGTAAGCCATCAGAAGGTCACCTCGAAGACGTCTATACTTTAATGGGTAAAGGTTAAGTGAATGGAGGCGCTCTTCATAAGGTTTAAATTTGAGTCCTGGAACTGATTTCGTGGCTCGCCGTTGGATACGCTTCAGGGTGTCCTTATCCTTTTGGAGTGAGGGGGGAAATACTATGTTTCCGTACTCCAAATGGGGATGGATAAAGCTATTGAAGATTATATGGAAAGTTCTTCCGTCAAACTGGCCAAAAATGCGCTTCAATGTTACCAGTGCAAGGTTTGCTCGGAAGGCATTTTTGTCACTTTAAATCATGGGACACCAGGAGTCCTAAATCTTTTTCGACTTCGGATACTACTAGAGAGGAGTTTCCTAAGTTATAACTGTAGTCTGCAACATGTCGCAGATGGACTACTTTACACTTTGAAGTGTTAAAGGTAATTCCGCTATCGTCTGCCCAACTTTGAAGTCCAGTCAGATCCTCTTGAAGTGCCTGTATATCGTCTTGGTTGCGTATCTCTCTCCAAAGTTTCACGTCGTCGGCAAAAAGTAATAAGTCTGACGTTACTTATATAGGAAGATCATTTATGTAGATCAAGAAGAGAAGAGGTCCTAGCACTGAGCCCTGGGGGATCCTACTAGGACATTCCATAGCCTGAGATAAAGAGAAATTAACCCTGACCTTAAAATGTCGATTTTTCAGGTATGAAGTGAGCCAATCGATTAGAGGTGGCCTGATATCCAATCGTTTGAGCTTATTGATAAGACATACATGGTTAACCTTATCAAAAGCTTTTGAGAAATCTAGGTAGATTATGTCAATCCTTCCCTTGCGATGCTTGTCCATCTGTCCACCTCAGTCAGCAGGTTGATTATACAAGAGTAACCCTTCCTGAAACCATACTGTTGGGGTGAGAAGAAATTTAAGGACAGTAAATAGTCATGTATACCATCGCACATCAGGGAACCCATGATTTTTGAAGTTACCGAGAGAAGAGCCACCGGTCGGTAACTTGAAAGTTTGCTGCGTCGACCTCCTTTGAAAATTGGTGTGGTGTGAGCCAACTTCCAATTTTCCGGTAGTTTTCCTCGACTTAGCGAGTGTGAGAACATCATGCTAAGCGGCGTTGCCAGGATTGAGGCTGCTTCCCTCATTATGGCGGAGTGGAACATGTCCGGGCCAGGAGAAGTGTTTAGTCTTAAGTGCTGCAGTTTCCGGAACACCAAGTCAGCGCTTAGGTTCACTCCGGAAAGTCCTGTGGAATTGCAAATGAAACTGTCATCAATAAAGTTGATGTCGGTCGATTGAAATGTCTGGGAATAATGTTCAGCCACAAGGTTAGCGGCGTCGCTATCGTTGTTGGTCGGGCTGTTATGACCTAGCAGTTGGGAAACTCGAGTTTTGGCTTGACCAAGAGAGGCTGCATAACGGAATAAGCTTTTAGGATTAGAGGCAAATTTGCCCATAAGCTTTATCTGGTACTGAAGCCTGTCATCTCTTATAGCCTTCGTGCATATGTTTCTTACATGTTTACATTGCCTGTACGCTCCGTCGTTGTCAGTTCGTTTGTATTCCGCCCAACAGTGCCTTTTGCGGCTTAGCGGGCGAAGGGTACGATTCTTGATTATTGTAGGTAGCTTGCAGCTTTTGCGGACCGTTTGAGGGACTGAATGGTTTGTAGCATATAAGAGCGTGTGCAGTAAGAAGTCCCAATGACCGTCCACATCGAGTTGAGGGTGAACATCCCAAACCACCTGTTGTAGATAGTCGTGTAGAGCTGACACATTCAACCGTTTAAAATTTCAACGCAAGTTATTGGTGGGATAGCTTAGCTTAGTTTTGCTGACAAAACTGAAGGCTATGACGGCATGATCGCTTTTTCCTAGAGGAGCCAGGATTGAGAAGTTGTCAACTAGGAATTCTTCTTTTGTGAATACACAGTCTAAGCTCGATGATGTCTGACTGTTTCTCCGACGATGTGCCGACCTCACATCTTCGTATAATCCCAAGTCATCGATGAGGTTGAACAACCGACCTTCAATTGAGTTGTCGCTTCCAGTGTACGTATGTTCCGCGAAGTTGAATCTAGGGAGATTAAAGTCCCCTAGAATCTGGATGTGTGTGAAACCGAGACGAGTAGAGCGGGATAGTCCTTCAAGCATATGACTATCGTAATCGATGTCGGCAGTTGGCTTCCTGTAAATGACTCCGATTAGACACCTCGAAGTACTAGACAATCTTACAGAGCACCATATGGATTCCTCAAGATTTTTAAACTCGAGGTTATGAACTTGGTGCACCTCCAAGCAAGAACGTATGTTAACGGCAACTCCACCCCCAATTCCTGATTTTCTGTCGTTACGGAACAAAGACATCCCAGGTAATGCTAACTCATGGTCCGAGAACCAAGATATCCAGGTTTCAGATATTCCTGTGAGATGGGCGTTGCTAAGTCCACGTAATTCATCCAATTTGTTTGGTAGACTCACGACGTTCATATATAAGCGGTTTATGCTTTCAATTTGGAACGCGTGAGCTTCGTCCTGTTTGTCTGTATGAGCCTTACGTGAATGGACAGGTAGCCCACCTATATGAGGTTTGCCGACAAGGTAGATCCTGTCCGTTACACGTTTTTTCTATCCTCTAGACGGTCCACAAGTGGGATGGTCATCTCCATCTTGCCTTTGTGTTTGGTCCTAACTTCGTATGGCCTATCCGGGTGCATGTGGATTCCAGGTAGCAGTCGACGTCTGTTGGCACGAAATGCTTCCAGAGTTGCAGCCGCCATATGGGAAGATGGGAAGGTTATCTTCATTAGACGGGGTCTAGGATCACCATCCTTCTTGGTTAGTCTCATCACATGCTGAGTCAGTATGTGTTTGAGCCTCAAGGACTGTTTGATGAATTTCCATTCTTGGATGTCAGCTTTTGTTTGAGTAGGGTCCGTATTTTCCGGTATACCTTGCACGATTATATTCCTCCCGCGGAAAAACTGATTGCGAGATTGTTTGGGGATATTCCGGATGAGATTGCGCTCAGAATACGGTATGTCAGGCAGTATTCTTACATTCTCATCTGATTTCAGTAATTGACTCGCTAGTAAGACATCCTCTACGTCGGTAGCATTTTTAAGTGTTACACGAAGTAACCTCGGGTGATTTTGATACTTAGATTCCTTTCCCTGAGTGAGCCGTGTGACTGTCAAAGACTCTATTCTTGGAAGTTCAAGTTTCTTGTTCAATTCTCCCCAAAGCATCCTATCATTTTTGTCCTGCAACCTGAGAGAAAGGTCAGGGTTGTCTTTGAAGTTCATGACTATGAGAGAGTCATCACGAACCGTTATTGTCGTCCCAGTGATACACGTATTGTAGCTAACTGAATGATAAAGCTTGATCGCTGCTTAATGTTTAGGTCTAGGTGTCGTAGTTCAAATCATACCCTGGATGACTTCATTTAGAGGTATATGTATGTGGAGTAAGACTAACATTCGTCTTATCGTCAGAAATACTTTTAATAGATGGTGCTCATAACTTAGAATAGACGCAAAGGTAATAATATTATATTTCTTCTAGAGCGGGTACGCGCCATTTTTACAGGTATGATTTACAAACTACAACATTAGTTTGCTTACAGTATGCTCCGAAGTAGGGTCGTTAAATAGACTAAACCAATGAAGGTAAATAACAGTACATCAGTGCACATGTCTCGGAGCGTTAATAATTAGTTTTATGCTTTAGCATTACACCAAGTACAGTCTTCAAAATATTCTTTCAAAGTGGCATCGCCTCCACGTTACACACCAGATCCCAGCTCGGCATGACTGTGTTAGAATTCTGGTCGTACTAAGAATTTATGTAATACAACAGATTTACAGAGTACTTTGTGTGAACTACGACCTTAAGAAAATGCGTACGTCAATTTTGTTTCAGGCGTTAGAAGCCCCATAGCTATGCTCTCAGAGAAAGATTCTGAAAAAAAACTTGGATAAGTAATGCTTAACATTTTGTAGTGGAACAGACAGATGTATAATAAATTAATAGATCAAACTCATACCGGCTTTTGTTGCTAGGGTGAAATATGATTAAGGCCTCCAGATGAGAGAACGAAGCTATAGAGAACAATGGGTTAAAATATTTAACATCGTGGAGTAAGTTCAGATGATCGGAAGAAAGTCGAAGTTAGAAGACGGAAGGCTGTTTATTAGAACGAAAAAAGCATCAAGAAAGTAAAGTATTGAGATAAGATATCGAAGGTATTCGGAATTGACAGCACTTTTAAATGTAAC